AGACTGCTGCTTATTCAGAGATTATTCCAGATACAACAGAACAGCTCGAGTGATTTATGCTGTTCCACCTAATTAACCAACAAACAAAGGCAGAAAAGGTTTGTCTTTGCAGATTGAAAGCAATGAGTTTAATTCAGTAGAAATGAAAGCTGATATTGTTTTAACTTTGGCAGATGCTCTATGGAAATTGCTACCAATTAAACGTGTTACACTCAGTGTTGTAAAATTTTCAAACTGCTTGTTTTGATTTGGCTTTGACTAGATCTGTATTGGGAAATTTTGGGTTTAGTTATTTCAGAGTTTACACATCATCTACGAAGAGTGTGAAAATACATCTCTCTTGACGGTGCAACAGTCAGCTATAAAATAAAAGAAGCAAACTCTTCCCCTATCACTATTTTGTTTCACAGCAATACTGTAGCTATAAAATAAAAGAAGCAAACTCTTCCCCTACTACTATTTTGTTTCACAGCAATACTGCAGCACAGGACAGGATTTACTACTCAGCATACCTTCAGAATGTCATTTTTACATTCTAATTTGTAACTGGTACAATTAAAGTAAACCTTAAAGGTTGCCATGTGAACGCTACCAGTTCGGGTGGACGATCTCCCACACTAGTTTCACTGCAGAGCTGAGCACCCCACTTCCCCGCTCTTCTACACTCTGGCTCCTCCACGGAAACATCCCAGCCACCTCCTGCTCCTTCCTGCCCCAGCTCTGCTCTGCCCCACGGCTCCACCTCCATCGGGCCGCCTGCCCACATAGCGCTCCGGTCACCTCAGAGCCACATCCCTTCTTACTAGCCACAGGGCCAGGGAAAGGCCCCGTCAAGCGTGCTGGTATGCGATAAATGGGGAGGCCCAGCCAGCTCTCTCCAGCTCGTAGACTCTCCTTGCAGCCTCTAGACTTGGGTTTGTTTCTGCGTTTGAATCCAGGGGCTGGTTGGTGGCTCTTCTGGGCTGAGACCTCTCGGCCTCAGAGACCGGACGAGTCGGCAGAGTGACTGCAGAGATCAGCACACGCAGCTCAGCAGGGGTAGCTGGGGGTTTTGGAAGGCTACTTTCTGCCTGGAAGAAAGCCATCATTTTGATGTATTTCAGGTCACTTAACACCTGCATTAAACACCTGAGGGAGTGTTCATACTGCCCACCTTGGCTGTTTGCGGCCTGCGCAATTCCGAACATAGCGTAGTGTTTAAGAATCAGTGAAGTAAACCATAAATACATATCCTATAGCCATTTCTAAGGGGTGTTTGAGTCAGTCCACTTTCTGCCCCACCTACAGACTCCTGTGAACATCTCTACACAGCCAGAGGGTTGTATTTTAAGGTCACACCCAAATTATAAGACTTCACCTGGCATGCACATACCACCATTAAACCTGCCCATGAAACTTCATAGGCAAAATAAAAAGGTGTAATTACATTTTCCCCGTTCAGTGAAGAAATAATAATTCCTTTGATGAATGATTTCAGGCCATCAGGCTTTCTCTTGAATCCCACCCAGCAAGATCTATTTTCTAAAAATTAAGATGCTTATCTTCCTGATGAAGTCATAAGCATCACCTGACATACTGAGATATATTTTACTAAATTAGATTCTCTCTAAAATACTAAAGCTTTCAACAAAAATAATGAAGACTGAACCGCCTCCTCACTGCCCCCCTGCAGAGGCTTACTTTGAGCATCCAAAAAACAAACCCTAACAAACATTGAACAGCTCCATGAATGGAATTCCTTAGTGCTGTGCTTATGTTTCCCCTGCTGTCCCTCTGAGACCAATCTGATTTCAATAAAAGCTGTGCGTTCCTTTCTACATTCCAATTTGGCTGTGCTGAAGTATCGCATGTTTTTTATATATCAAGTGTTTGGTACACTTCAGAGTAAATCTCGTTCTTATTAGTTCCTGTATAACACAGTGCTTGTTCTGCTGGGTCTTCTTCCAACAGGAATAGGGCAGTAGGACCTGGAAAGTACATCTTCTGCCAGCTAGCAATATAAAAGATCTTGTCCCGAGAGACCTACTTATCTCTTTAATTAAAGACATTCTTGTACTGATTTATGTGGCGGTGTCGTGTCTTAGATGATGCTCAAGACACAAATAGAACATGAAGCATAAGTGGAAAACCAAAACATACACAATCCACTGAGGCAAAAGAAGAAGAGTCTCCTTGTGCTGCTATCTCATTTTTAAATGGACAGGGAAACAGCATTATGAAAGGAGACAGACTACATCTAATATACTTAGCAAAAGTGGAGGAAGGTCTTGCTCCTCGAAATATCCATATGGGACTCATCAGTACAACATTCTTGTAATCACTGTAGGAACTTTAAACCCAAGATGGGAAACAACCTTGAGATAAACAAGACAACAAAAGAAAAGGCATGAAAATGGAAGTAAGAGAAAGATACAAGGCAACTGTGAAGTGAGACATGCTAATAAATCAAGGCATGAACTTTTCACTAACTGCAAGACGGTATAAGATGAAGGTAGAGGTGTTCATTTATTTTAAGCAATGTTGGTCAGAAACAATAACAACAGCATCTAAGAATTGAAACCGAATCCTTGTTGAAGAAGGTGACATTGTAGCAGCCTCAGTCTTGACCTGCTCAGTCTGTTGAACAACTTCCTTTATTAACAAGGTTTTAAATCTGTGTAAGCAAATGGAACACAACTGTTTTTCCTCACTGGCAGACCTGCATAATCAACACTGTTGGGGCGCTTGTGATAGAAGTCTTTCCAGAGACCACAAATAAAGAATACACCACCAGTAGTGTCTTGTCTACTGATAGTACGCTGTTTCTATCTTAAATTATATCAACAGACTGTTTTCCTTCCCAAATGAGCATACTAACAAGAAACTGATCGCCTCCTAAGAGTTTTCACGGAGTTGCTGCATTTTGCCTTGAGTTAATGTTGATGGCTATCAGCAGAATAATTCCTGGTTTCCTGGCTGGGCTGGCAGCTGACCTGGTAACGTCCATGTCAGCCACGCAGCTGACGTGATAAAATCTGTACACATCGTTACTCAGCATGGAGGATGAATCTTCCTCCAGATCTGCCAATGGTCTATTCTCCAACTTTATCCTACGAGTTCACAGGGGACAGCAAGGGTTCTTTCTCTCAACATCTTTGAAGCAAAGGTCAAGTCCTTACATCTTATACTGAATAAACTCGTATCAGCTTCTGGTGAACATGCTTTCCATATACCTTTTGTTTCCACTCCCACTTTCATTTTACCAGTTGTGGCAAGTACCTATAACCCAACTGTGCTCCTTAGCATGGCATTTAATTTCTCACACACCCTCTTACTAAAAAGTAGCTGGATTCTCCAGTAAACCAGAATTCACATTTCTCCCCTCGCTGAAACTCCTCCTGCCCAGTACTGCCCCACCGTTTGTGTGGGTTCCTGCCTGTCCACGTCTGCAGCCACCTGCCACCTCACTCCTGGCAGTCCAACCTCACAGCTCTTTTCCTGAACCACCCTACCCTGCCCGGGCAGCAAAGCCTTCAAAACCCGCAGTGGAGAGCAGGCCTGGATGGAAGAGTCATTACAGACTATTTTATTTGACAGAAAAAACGTCTGCTCAAGCAGGCAAGACGGCTTATTTTACATAGTTAACATACCGACACTGTACGTACAGAGCCTGAAAGTAAGTAAAGAGAAAGTGCTACTTTTTTGATGGAGATTAGCCAACCATAGCTGTTTACTGCCAAAGTTCCTAGAGAAAACTGTAAGAAAACCAGGTGTGCATTTTACAGCTATTCGGTGGGTTTCTTCACAGCCCTGTATCAAGTCACTAGATCCTTCTAAAATGCTCCACTGCAATCATTACTGGTCATTTACATATTATATATACATATTGTTGGGAAAAAAAGACCTCCCTGCCCCACGTGAACAAAGTATTTCTGCCAAGAAATTAATGGAGAGGCCGAGCGGCAGGTTTCTTGGTGGCGGCACTGGGTGAGTAGGAGCAAGCCCTGGGTACGTCTGCTGAGGAGAGGAGAGTGGGGCAACGTCCTGCCTGGAGATGTCCAAACAAGGAGCTGACCTCTAAAATACTCAATATTGCAAGCAACCCATGTTACTGAAAGCTGCCTGTCTGATATCTGGCTCTTAACCCCCGGTTATAAGTTGAACATTACAGCTAGGAAAAAAAAAAAACAAAAAACAAAAAACAAACCACCAGTGAGAAAGACAGAATGGCTTATTAAAACTGTAGTTTGACTCAAGTGGAAAAACGTTTAACGTTGGCAAAAACTTCATAAACCCAAGTCTGCACTGAATTATAGATGTGTATTTTCCTTCCACTAGAGGGGGGTCGGCTGCCAAAAACAATCACACGTTATCGTAGTGTACGCAAACCCCGCTTAGAGTACGGGAACAAAATAAAAAAAAATAATTAAAAAAAAAAAACAAAAACAAAAAAAAGCAAAACTGTCCTGTGAAGACAGCGAACTTTCTGCCGGTTTGGCCCAGCAGCTGCGCCCCCCGCCATGAGCCCCGTTCCCTCCCGTCCCGTCCCGTCCCGCTCCGCAGCGGCCAGGGGCCGGGACCGCGGCTCCCCCGAGGGCGGCGGCAGCTCCCCCCGCCCGCCCCGGCAGACGGCTCGGCATAGCGGCCGTCGAGGCGCAGTTTGTAAGCAAAACCTTTCATTTTTAATCCCCCCGCCACCTCCTTTTTTCCCTTTTTTTTTTTTTTGGCGGTTTTTCCCCCCCTCCCCCGAC